TAAAGCATATAATATGTAAATAAAAAATACTAAACATAGATATATGTATTAAATATTTTAACCACTAGCGAAACTAATCTTAAAGAAAAGTGAAAAATAACCTTACTTATGGGAAAGCTCACCCAGTCAACCTGTTCCATTGCGATCTTGGCTCAACCAAAGGAGAACGTTTGTCTGGAAAGGAATTGTTAGACTTTGTCCAAATTCTAAATAAATCTACTGAAACTTATATTTGTGTATATATTGTATAACCTCTTAACCACCAACAGGTGACAGGTTTCCTTCTGCTATAAGAATTAAATATTTTAGAACAAACTAGGCGATTCTTTCTTATGGATTGTGGTGTAAATATTTAGAGAGAACTAGACAACCAGTGACCCGTTGGGTCACCAACTATTCAGAGGTTATGAAGAATTCAAGCTAATTTCAATATTGCACCAAAATGAAGGTTTATTTTGAGATAATTAAATATTTCAATCCATTCGTGTTATTCATAATTCAAGAAAATATATTTGATTGTTGATCAGGAGTAAAAGGAAAGACCATTTCATTTTTCTAAAAAGTGAAGTAAGAAGTTTCGTAAAGAGCGCGAACGGTAGTGTGAATGATTTTTTGACAGAGAAAATAAGCAAACAAACAAACAATCTCAGAGTTTTAGTACTATATAGATAGATTCTTCAGTATCTTGTTTTTGTCATCTTACGCCTTTTAATGAAGATGGAAACACTGACAGGGAAATAATATAATAGCCAATGCTCGGCGAGAGGTTTTCGTTTATAAAATGTTGTTATTGTTCTCGACTTGATTTTTATTTTATGACCTCGTCTCCATAGTTACTATTTGCAAACAGTCAATAATATTGTAGGTCCATTTTATTGTTGTTCTTTCTATGCGCCTATAACACATTTTCATCTCATCATTTAATTTCTGCTGTGCATATATTGTTGTATAGAAGATATTTCAAAGTGATTCATCAGGTGAAAAACGAATTTTTATTATAATGGAATGTACGAAAAGAGACTCAAAAAACGGGGCTAACTCGGTAACCTGTGGCCCGATTTTAACGAAACTTGTTTTATTCTGTTTCTTTTCTCATTTCATTACAAATATGGCGCTATTGTGCGCCGTTTTTGCTGTATTTAATTGCAGACAAGCACACAAACAAACAATCTCAGAGTTTTAGTAGTATATAGATATCTGATCTGTAGCTCATTTATTTTTGACATTCAAATCTAAAACCACTGAAAATAATCACTATTTTTATTTCTTTATTAATAAAATCTCAGGAAAAGAAAACAAACTCAACGTTAACCGTACTGGACTTGTTCAAGACTCCACGGCTGCGTCGTAGGACAATAGAAATAACATTTGTTTTGTAAGTATTCAAAGACGTTACGTGCTTTGGTGTAATACGTGTAAGATATTTTTGTAGACGTACTGTATTAGTGCCACATTGTTAAGCATAAAGAATAAAGCATTGTTGGTATCAATAATGTAAAGTTTTAGCTATTAATTGTATCTTTAGGATGATATTGTTGGTGTTAACACAAAGCAACATTTATCTATAAATATGTATCTATTTTACCTTGTTGATGAGCTCCTGCTTAACGTGCTATGACTGGAAAGCTGAAGTCAATTAGTATTAATGTATTCATTTATCCAAAGATTTTTTTTCGTCTTCCTACGTACGAATATCCTTGAATACTATAACCAGTATGATATATGAATGATTTTATAGAAGTAATTCTGGAGATATTCTCAAGTTACTATGGTTATATGAGGAAACTTCACCTTTTTACCATGGAAACCTCACTTTTTTTTACCATGGAAACCTTTCTGTTTTATCATGGAAAGGTCACACGTTTAGCACGTAATTGAAGAAAAATTCACTACGTTTTTAATAAAGAAAAATACACATTTCTTGTTTTTACCATAACCGTTGTTTCATGAATGAGACTGTTTAAACAGAGCATTTTCTGATTCCTACCTATGGTTCCCAGTTTTACACTAAATTTTATGGTCATGTTTTTTTTCTGTACTTACGTGAGTGTTAATAATATTTTATTAACGAAAAAACTTTCGCCCTTGAGAAAAACAGACTCACTTTCCGATAGCATTAGGGTTTTATCGTGTGTTTTTATTAGTTGATGCTAACTCATTAATATGTGTCGAGGTTATAGGTTATAGTTCATTATTGATTTCTACAGTAACATTATAACGATGATAGGAAAGCTATACATAATCAAAATGGCTGAACTTTAGTTGCTTTCTCTGTATATCGAAAGTGTAAGTTTGTATATTTTAAACATTCCTCATACCTTTATTTGATATGTTAGTAAACAGTTGAGCACACTGTCATTACAAGATAGACGCCATTATTACGAAGTTATATCAATAAAAGTCTACAAGTAAGGTTTGATGTATGTATCAAGATAAAGAGATTTGAATAACTTTGGTTGATTTTCTTAGGTTTTTTTATTCTTCTGAAATCTGATGGTCTGCAGTATATCCACGGTTCTCAATAAATGTGGCATGAAAGAGACTTGTTAAACGTTCTGGGGCAGGTCGTACTAGCTCCCAGATGATATAGATAACAGACTTTTGTTTACATTGAGCCATAATTAGTACTAACTCTTAACAGTTAACACTTTATATACGTTTATAACATCCGTTATTTCAAAGATGAAAGCAACTATTATAAAACAGTGAGCCAATCGAAGCATATCTTTGAGTTTACAGGTTGTAGTGACACTCTGTTTTCGCTGTATTTGGCGCTTGTGCAATATACAAAAGTTTGAGAAGTATGAAAAAAGTTTTGTTTTATGTGTGTGTGTGTGTTTGTGTGAATTGGCAAATTATATGTTTTGGGTAAAGTGCAGCTGGATTCAAAGAAGGTTGAGACCTGATATAAACATGAGCACTACAACTGTTTCTCTATCAAATATTTTTTTTTTTACTTATAAAAATTTTCTATTATCTAGTTTTGTAGCATCATTTTTATACTACGGCTTGACCTTCGACTCGGCAAGACTAGGGGGTAGTATGTATATCAACTTACTAATCTCAGCTGCTGTGGAACTCCCGGTTTGTGCAGTGGTCCCTCTGGTGGTAAAGTTCGTGAAACGGAAACCACCGATCATAGTATCTTTTTTGATCGCCAGTATCGCCTGTGTTCTGGTTATTGCTGTTCCGGAAGGTGTGTGTGTAAAGTTTACTGAAAAGTTTACTGTTTTGAAGATTCAACCAGGACAACTTGTAGAATAAATTTTAAAATTAAGAATAAGATCAACGCTTAAAAATGCACAATAAAATGATGGTAGCGTAAGGCTACCGGAACATGTAGAATCTTTCAATTTTGGCCTTAGGCCAAATTCAATTTTATTGTGCATTTCTAAGCGTTGATCTTATTTGTAATTGAAAACCTGCTTTTGGATCAAAAACTATAAATTATTTATAACAAATTTAAAATTCTCCCACATTAGTAACCTGTAACAACCTAAAGCAACGAGAACCATTTCAAACTATATTTATTAAATATCAGGAAATCCATATTATTCTAAATATTCATGATAAATTAGGTTTCTTTAGGGTAAATAGAAGTATCTGGCCTTTCTCTATCATCTTTTGTTATTATGACGAATAATTATATTGTTATTTTCCAGATTTATTTAACTTCCATCGTAAATTTAGCATGGCTTCTTGTGTCTTGTGAAGATTTCTTGTGAGCGCTCATTGAACTTAACTTCCTGTAGTATCTTTTTAATCGTCACAAACTTCAGCTATATATATATATATATAATGGGAGTTTGAAAGGTATCCTATCTGTATTTAACTTACTACTGTAGTTTAATGGTCACTTTATTATTGACGTTTTAAATGTATATATTTATTTTGTACAGATATGGTGGTGACAAAGATTTCACTAACTATGATAGGGAAAATGTTCATCTCCACTGCCTCTGGCATCAAGTTTGTCTATGGAGCAGAAGTGTTCCCCACTGTTATTCGAACTGTGGGGGTTGGCACTGCTATCCTGTGTTCGAGGATAGGAGGGGCAATCGCTCCTTTTGTTCGTGAGCTGGTGAGTTAGACCAAAGTTACACGGTGATGAACATGTGTTCATTAAGTATCTTCCTTGTAAATACAGGCTGAGGTAAAGACTTACAAGTCAAACTGCTTTATAAGAACCTTGTGAGTTACGAGATGTACAAGAAACATTCATTTATGTATTCAAGTATACCAGAGTACGTATTACCACTTACCAGACATTAATTAAACTGGTGTAGAAACGCTGACCGCCTATGTACGAACACACATATTAAAAAATGTCACATAACAAAATGACCACAATGTAGATTAAGTCAAATAAACACACGTAACACAAAATAAATTACGTTATAAATAGTATAAGCAGATTTTAGTCGACATTTAGCACATTGATGTCAGTTTACTTTTCTATAAATAGATTTAGAATAGCTTGCATATAAACCGTTGGAAAGTAAACACATCGAACAACTTAAAGGCAGGTGTCAAAGTATTTAGCATGATAAACCCATTCACACATTGGATGTGCAGTAATGGTAATCTTTCCAGAATGAAGATTGTGTAAATTTGATTGTGCTTTACCTTAGTTAAAATTGCCTGTTTTAAAGTTTCACTTCAAAAATAATCTAAGAGATCAGGGTATTTAGAAGTTTATATGTAATTTATATTGTGAACAATTGTGAAGGATTATAGAGTGACATTACAAAAGCTAACATTAACAACAGGCCTGATGCTGTAATCAGCTGATCGTGGAAGTTATGTGTGATGTCCATATGTTGAACTCTGACCACTATTGGGCAGGGCAAGCTCGTTTTAATCTTGATATAACGTGAGTGTATTTTAACACGATACGAAATGTGACCTCGGGTCTGTGAGTATCCGAAGCTTTACACTCGTACAGAAAATTTAATGACAATCCGTTATTATTTGAGTCATGTGAATAAAGAGTTGGTATCATTTTCTATACAAGACGTGGCTAGTTCAACATTGCTTTCTTGAGTAATTAAACCTCCACACAATAACCCTAATGAGAAATAGACAAATCAAAACACGACACCTCCGGCAACTTAGCGTTACGTTTTAGAGCTTATACTACTAGAATTCGGTGTTGGATCCTCTCGGCAGATACAACGCCAGACAGACAATTTTGTAGGTTTTCACTGAACAACACAAACAGTTAAGTGAAATAACTTAAAAGACTATAAAATGTATTTACATAGTCTATCTGGCTACGTTTATCATACTTTAAGTATTATACCAGTCAACCTTTGCTTAACAAAAGCTCAGAATAAACATTGGCAGTTATCAAACACAACTGACGCTACTATACTTTGTATATGTTTGTGTGTGATCTTATTAAGGGTTCGTAAAAGTAATATTTGTTTAAAAGAGTACAGACTTAGATAATCTGACGTTGGTAGAACATTAATAATCGCTTGAAAATATCTGTTTAGTATAAAATTCTACTATTGGTTCTAAACTAACAACCACATAATGACCTTCATAGATCATCCTGCAATGTCACTTTTTGTTCTACTCAAATAACTCTATGAATACTTCGTTATTCATCCTACAACGTTACTTCCGGTTCTACACTAACATTTGTAGGAATACCTTCGTTATTCATCCTACAATGTTACTTCCGTTTCTTTGCTGACATTTGTAGGAAAACCTTCATTATTCATCCTACAACGTTACTTCCGGTTCTACACTAACATTTGTAGGAATATCTTCGTTATTCATCCTACAATGTTACTTCCGTTTCCTTGCTGATATTTGTAGGAAAACCTTCATTATTCATCCTACAACGTTACTTCCGGTTCTACACTAACATTTGTAGGAATACCTTCGTTATTCATCTTACAATGTTACTTCCGTTTCTTTGCTGACATTTGTAGGAAAACCTTCATTATTCATCCTACAACGTTACTTCTGGTTCTACACTAACATTTGCACGGGGAATTGAAAATCTTTGCTAAAAGAATTTAAAAATAGAGATGGTCCTGATTCAGCTACAGTCACTAATTCATTCCTTTCTGTGAAAATTATTATTGGGCGAGTAATATAACATGTGATACAAAAGTTTTGTAATAATTAGAGAATTAAATTAATACACTTTCATCGTACTTGGGGCGCGTAAATCTCAATTTTTAGTAAAATATTCACGAAACTTTGACAGCTCTTCCTGAAAATGTGAATAATAACTACTTGGATAATGTTCCAAACTGAAATTTGTTTTTTGTCCCAATATGTTGTTTCTTAGTAATATGTTAGCAATAAAATGAATAAAAGTAATAAATATACTATTTTCGTTTATTTAGTTAGTAATTGTGAAATATATTTTGGTTTATTATGAAGCAAGAGTGTATCGAGATGTTGCATATGAATGAATTAAACACAGTAGAGACTAAATAATCTTTCCACAATCTAGATAAAATGTTCTTTCAATGCAAAAGATTTAAACGCAATCAACTTTTATTTAAAATAAGAACGTTTGACAGTTTGTTAGATAATGTTTACATTCCTTCAATATGTATCAAGAAATGTTGTAAAACTGTAGCTTTAAAAACAAAAATTGTAAAAATTAACCTTATGTTATCTTTGTAAACTAGTTGTACATGCAACAGATGGCGTGTTTTTTAAAGTTCTGTAATTTATTCATAAGTTTACCAATCGGTTTAGATAAGTTGTTCTGTTTTCTATTGCAGAGTAAGTCCACGCACGTCGCTGTACCTTCAGTAACCTATGGTGTTCTGTCAATAGTAGCAGCCATTATGGTCTTCCTTCTTCCGGAAACATTTAACAGACAACTTCCTGACACAATACTGGAGATAGAGAACCCAGAGAAGTAAGTGAGCTTCTAATCTTGATTTGTAAATAAACCATAACAGTGACAATAACGAAGAATGAAAAGTGAATATTTTTCAATACATATGAATTCAGAAAAAAACATTGCGAAGTTCACTTTTTATTTTGAATATCTGATTCTAGCACATTTGTTATAATTTTTTCCCATCCGACTGTTTAGTGGTAATATGGAGGGCTTATAATACTAAAAATCTGGGTTTGATCCCTTTAATGATTACAGTGCAGATGGCAAATTGTGCAGCTTTGCATTTAAGGTATAAAATAAAATAAACAATTATCGACAACAAGGGATTCAATGCTGTTATTACTAAGATAAGGAAACTTGCCTACTGTTAAATTTCTGTTATTGTATATTTGAACTAATTATTCAACTCAGTAGGTTCCTCAGAAAACAAACAATTTTAAAGTTTATCTTCTCATTTATTTATCTTTTATAAAATATAGTCGAACGGTTTTTACGATTATTTCAGAATTAATAATTAGATTTGACGTTTCAAATTACCGAAAGGTTTACAAACCTTCTAGCACACACACACAAAATGCTACCAGAAAACGTTTTACTACTTGTGTCAGCCATTTTGTGACAAGAAGAATCTTTATGTCACGTGATTTGGCATTTTCCCCTGATTGGCTTGAGATAAAAACTCATAAACCTGTTACCAGTTGCCAGAAACTAGAAACCTTTCAAACAATATTGGATAACTTTTTTTTTTTTACCAAAACAAGGTCTCGAAAATTTAGATTCTACAATATGCCCAATGTATGCTGGGTTTCACTACCTGTGTCAGCCATTTTGTGACAAGAAGGGTGTTTTTATCACGCGAGTTGTCATTCTTCCCTGATTGTTTAGAGATGAAAATACAAAACCTGTTACCAACTGTCAGAAACTGAAAACTTTTCCAGCAATACTACACTGAGTGGTCACAAGTAAATAAACACCTAATTTTTCGTCA